AATTATTCCATCGTGATGCGTGTAGTCATTCGTGACTGCGCTACACACTGAAAGCAACCTTCTGATAAGCGTCATAATTCGGTTACAAGAAACGTTAAAGTTCTATAGATGACATAACAAAGGCATAAATGTGTTTGGGTTTTTCCCACGTTATATCAGTTGCACGGAAGTAGCTGTCAACGCAAGTAATCCGGGCGCTGCACCTTTAACCGCTCCCGCGGACGGCAATCACTTTCTGGCAGACAATCACTTTTTGGCACAACACCTGTTGTAGCTTTTCAGCTCACAGCCCGACACACGCCAACACAACAGCATAGATAGCACAGACGTTAAGGCGGCGTCCTCCTTCCCTGCAGCGGCGCTGCAGACCACGCCCCGCCACACACATACACCAGGTAAAATACATATTTAGGCAGAATTTTGCAAATATCTATTTTTTTTTAGCAGCATAGTGCTTTTTTTCAATTATTTTTTAAAAGTCAGGTCAAGGCTCCAAAAGCCCAAAGGCGATATAAGGGTGGCGGCTCACAACAGTTTTTGTTTGCTGGATCATTTTAGTTCAGCTGGGTGTCTTTCCTTTTGTTATATTTCTTTAAGAGTTCAAAATGTGTTAATTACATAAATAAAATGTAATTTTCTCTGTAGCACTTCATGGATTTCATAAGCAACACACCTTAGTTGTTCACACAAAGCATAAAGGTAAAAAAAACAATATATACAGTGTTATCTTCATTTTAGATGTCAAAAAGTATTTGCGGCTCCCAGTGTTTTCTTTTGCGTGGAAACCGTCCAAATGGCTCTTTGGGTGTTAAAGGTTGCTGACCCCTGCACTAGGTTCTATATCAGTATAAAGCGCCTTGAGACTGTTGCTGTGATTTGGCGCTGTATAAATAAAACTGAATAGAATAGACAAGCACAGCACAATTCCAAACAAATTAATATATACATAATGTATAAAAGGCTCTGGGATTTTATGTCTATGTTCTGCAATATTGTGTGGGGTGGAGTCGTAGGAAATGACGTAGGCAGAAGTTGGGGGTATCGCGATGCTACTCGAGAAGAGGAGATTTTTTCTGTGTTAGTTCTGTTACCTCGTAAGCTGTGTTCCTGGTTGCCATCCTTCACGTGATGCTCCGAGTGTTAAGTTCATGACTGGAAACTGCTGGCAACACTGAGCATCTAGGTGGCAATAAAACAGCTGGCGGTGACAATCCAGCAAAGTGGAAGCCTGTTGTCCTCCTTCCTGTATCCTGACCGATACACCATCTTGTTAGCTGCTGAACCTAAAAGAACTAGCCCTCACCAAGTACTCCTCAACACATAATTTACTGGTATGATACCAGAATTTCAATAATTCTGGTAATATTGATTTACATTTTATGTTTTGGAGAAATTGCCACAGAAACAAGGCTAGAAAAATATTGTGACTGTTAAAGACAGCAAGCCCAAATATCTCCATCTGTTGAAACACTCCTCCCCCCCCCCCCCCCCCCCCCCCCCCCCCCCCCCCAGTACGTTTTACTTACCTGTGGTAATGCAATTTATAATTTATATATTCTGTATTCAGTTATGAAGGCTCTAATTGTTGTTTGCGAGCTGCCGTTTAGATGCTTGTATGTGCCCGGGGCTGTTGATGGGTCTGTATGCAATGATGGGCGTAGCTGCGGGAAGTTTGTTTTTTTTTGTTGATGAGTGAGTATAGGGGTGGGATTTAATAAGTTTTCTTCGTCCCACTCCTTTTTCAGGCAATTTTTGTTTTTTGTTTTGTGCATTTTATGTTCAATATAGGTATTTGTTGTGCCTGAAAATGAACAAATAAATGAAATGAATGAAATGAAAACATACAAAGAAAAGACTGCTGTGTTTACCGTAATAACGACACTGGTTTACAGCTTCTTTTGGACTCAAACTCTGGATGTGTTTGGTTGATTTTTAAGTTTTCTAGTTCGTGTGATCATCTTCTGCCGAGCAGCTTCTGAACCATGGAGAAACTTTCCGTAAGTCCACACTGCTGTGGATGCTGCTGTGACACGGCATGATGCTTGAACCTACAGTTTTGGTCATAGTGATCCTGCAGCTTCCTGTTGTTTATGAGATGTTCGCACCAGTGGGAATTAAAAAAAGAGGGAAAAGGAAAAAAAAATCTGTCATGGAAATAAGAAATATTACGGAGCCCCCCAGGGGACATGGGAGAAAAAAAAATTGGGGAGGAAAAAAAAAAATTAGGGAGGAAAAAAAAAATTAAGACGGACTTAATCTCGCAAAAGTCCGTCTTAATTTTTTTTTTCCTCCCTAATTTTTTTTTTTCCTCCCCAATTTTTTTTTCTCCCATGTCCCCTGGGGGGCTCCGTAAGGAAATAGTTCGCCTGTAATTAATGGACGTGTTTTTCTACATTTTCAGTATACATACTGCAGTATAAATATATTCCTTATGGCAGCACAGTTTGTGAGCAAAGGGTTAGAGTGAGGATGACGTCACTTGATACGTCAGCAAATAACATTTTCTGTTGAAAGTAGAAAACAACTAGAGAACAGACGGAGTCAGAGCTGAAGAGTCCTCCCGTTTTATGTCCTCACTGAAAGCAGAGGCGTGTTTTTAAATTCAGATATTTTAACGGATCTCTGTTTTTCTCGCTTTCTCTCATCTATATGACAGCAATCATTGAATAAGATACTTATACATTATCTCTAAATATTTCTTTGATTACACTTTGAATTCCAGTCTTTAAGCATCAGATATTCAGATCAGATCAGATATTGGTCTTCACAATCCACAACAAAAAAGAGGGTATTGCTTCTTTTTAAACATGCACGTGTAAGCGGTAGTATCACAAACATTAATTCAGTAATTACAATGACTGTGGTTCATTAAGAAATCATGCTGGCGCCTCGCAATGGCCAGAAGCAGCGGGTACGCCATCTGTCAGAAGTGGGCTGACGCGTTTTGAGCCACGCTTTGGAGCAGTGTTTCGAAATCTTGTAAATTCCAAATTATAAAACTGCGGTTATTGTACCCGACCCTAAAACTCAATGAAATATGGTACATAACCAGATTCGTACTCTGGATGGCATTACCTTGGCAATGTAGAACTGCTTTCTTCCATTTACGCAACACCTCTAAAATTAGAAACATCCTGTCTCAGAGTGATGCTGAAAAACTAGTTCATGCATTTATTCCTTCTTGGCTGGACTCCTGAAATTCATTATTATCAGGATGTCCTAAAAACTCCCTGAAAAGCCTTCAGTTGATCCAAAATACTGCAGCAAGAGTCCTGACAGGAAAGAGAGAGCAGACTTCTCCTGTACTGGCTTCCCTTCATTGGCTCCCTGTTAAATCCAGAACTGGATTCTGAATTCTTGCTCCTCACATACAAGGTCTTGAACAATCAGGCCCCAAGGTTATCTTAATGAACTTATTGGACCGTATCACCCCAATTAGAGCACTTTGCTCTCAGATTGTGAGGTTATTGTTGTTCCTAGATTATTTAAAAGTGCAATGGGAGGCGAAGCTTTCAGGCCCCTCTTCTATGAAAACAGTCCCCTGTTTAGATTCAGGATGCAGACACCGTCTCTACTTTTAAGCTTTAAGAGCCTTAAAATTTTCCTTTTTGGTTAAGCTTATAGTTAGGGCTGGATCAGGTAAGCATAAATCTTCCCTTATTTAAGCTGCTATAGATTTAGGCTGCTGGGAGCTTAGAAGTAGAATGGGAGGGAGAGTCTTCAGTTTTCAGGCCCTTCTGCTGGCGGTTACTTCCTGTCAAATCGGAGTTATTCCTTCCTACTGTTGCCATTGTGCTGGGTAGTTAGTTGTATGTATTATTACTGAGTCTACCTTTCAATATATAGCGTCTTGATGCGACTGCTGTTCTGATTTGGCACTGTATAAATAAAATTGAACTGAAACATCAAATAATTATAAAAAGTTAATGGTGAACTGGACTTTACGCAGAAGCAGATCAAAGTGTTTTACGAGCCAGCTGTTCCATGCAGCACGGTGGCACGGTGGTTAGCACTGTTGCCGCACAGCAAGAAGGTCCTGAGTTCAATTCCACCATCAGGCCGGGGTCTTTCTGTGTGGAGTTTGCATGTTCTCCCCGTGTTTGCGTGGGTTCTCTCCGGGTACTCCGGCTTCCTCCCACCGTCCAAAGACATGCAGCTTGTGGGGATAGGTTATTGGATAATCCAAATTGCCACTAGGTGTGAAGTGTGAATGGTTGTCTGTCTGCGACAGACTGGCTGACCTGTCCAGGGTGTACCCTGCCTCTCGCCCTATGACAGCTGGGATAGGCTCCAGCGCCCCCCGCGACCCTGAAAAGGATAAGCGGAAGCCAATGGATGGATGGATGAAACATCTGTGCTTCGGAAGCTTGATGCAGTCTCGAAACATTCGTTTCGAGCTTCCCATCCCTACTTTTAACTTCTTTTTTCCCCCATATTGTCCACTTTAGATATTGTGTTAGTGATTTAACCCTGGTCCTGCTGTTATCATTGGGGTTTTCTGGTAACAGCCGGCAGGTTTATGAAGTTTTGTGGTGGAAACTGGTGTGGTAGTGGAATTGTGTGTAGTCTGTCTGGTTGATTCCCAACTGAATTCATAGTAGAACCAGTGGACAGGAACCTTAGAATTTGGACTCTTTGTTCATTCTTGATGTTCATGTGTAATCTCTAGTTTGCTCTTTTTGTTTTCACTTGCCAAGTTAAGTCCCATTGTGTCACGCTCTGAACCTGAGATTATTATTGATGCATTTTTTTTATCTTGTGTAGATTATTGAAATTCATTGTTCACTTGTCTAAGCAGAAACTCCTTGGAACACCTGCAGGTTGTTCAGTGTGAGGGACCAAGCAGCCCATGCACAGAGGACACAGGAAAAAATGGTTTTCTTTGTTTTAACCCTCAAAAAAGTTCAAAAGACAAAATTTAAAAACACAACTAGCAGGCCCATAAAAGAGGTCAACTAAATATAACTCTACAAAAAGTATTTTCCAGAAACTTAAACAAATCGGACACAACTTAACTCACAAACTGACCTAATTACAAAGACACAAGAGTGTAGCTTTTATGGTGGTTTGGCCAAACCATTTAAAAATGATTAATGAATTATAGTAATGAAGAAAACTGCAAACCAAACTAATAAAGTGAACAAATGGACTGATTTACCCATGTGTGGCTGATGCCATCACATTCAGAACACTACTGTGAGGCTTATTGTTCTAAGTACTTTCATACCTCACCATTGCTGACCCAGCTCCACACTGAATTCTGGGTCCATTTTAAGATTCTGTTTTTGACTTCCGGAGCTCCTCCATACATTCCCAGCAGCTCCTTGAAGTCATGTGATCAGGGACTACTTGTTTTGAATAATACGAGACTGAAAACTGGAGCTTTGCCACAGTGTCCCCCAGACTCTGAGATCTTGAGATCTGTGGACTCAGTGGTCTCTTTCAAGAGGCAGGTAAAAATGCATCTTTTTAGACTTACATTTGGAAATTTTTTAACAATATTAAAATTAAGTTCTGTAGTTTTTTTTTTTCTGTTTTTTTATTGTGAAGCACGTGGTGGCTATAAGACTATAAGTGGAAATTCCAACATTAGAATAAATACTAGAGATGTGTTAACAATAGTAAACATGTTTTACATATTCAAATCACTGAAACCTACTGACACTAGGTATTTTGGAAGATTGTGTGGTTGTTTTACACGATCCAGTAACAGAAACACATACTCTTTTTTTTTTTGAAATGCAGACATTTTCTTTATTTTGCTTCAAAGAAGCTAAACTTGAAGTCTTCACTAGACTTATATAGTCCCACTAGGACAAAACCTTGAGCATAAATAAATACAAAGTAGAGTAGCAGACCAAATAAATAGATCATTCTTCAAATACCATTTGAAGTTATTGTTATGTAACAAAACTATATAATAGCTTTTTTCAATGAGAAGGTCATCAATATGAATTAAATCAAGTAATAAAATACCCAGATTACATTTACTGCACTATGCAGGAGTCTGTAAACAGAACTAAGAGAGCAAACATCTACAAAACATATTATTGATAAATAAACAGTAAATAGCTAAGTGTATAAATAGGCTTGTGTGACTTTTGAAGCCGCATTAAATATTCCCAGCGATGTTCCTTCTAAGTCACAGCCTGCTCACTATGAGCATGCTGCAGGACTTCACACTGCTGATTAGACTTGGTGCATTTCATGAACTTCATGCATTTTATGCGTGTCATGTGATAGCAGGTCTGGATGGTTCTCCCCTAGGAGCTCTGGGGTCTGACACAGGTACACCCCACAGCTACTTCCACATTCACTGGCCTCAGACGGTAAGTCTTCTTATCGTCACAAAGCTCCTTTTTGAGAAACACTCTGTTCTGAACGATGGGAACTGAGTTGTAGTCATAGTCCTCAATCATTTTATTGTCTTTGAGCTGGATGCATCCTGAACACAGGCACTGAGCACCAACATATGTCGAAGGAAAGTGATCTTCCTTGATGTGAGTTCTGTTAAAAACAAAAGAGGACTCGGTGAGCTACAGTTTATTCAGACATGTGGAGCGTGTGGTTCTATATGTCAGTAACAGCAGATGGTCTTAGTAAATACAGAAGCCCCGTCCAAAATGTTAGGAAAGCAATCCTAAGAACAGGGCACATTCATCCTGTGCTATTTTCTTTCTTTTCTTTTCTTTTCTTAAAACAAAACAAACAAACAAACATCAAGCTGCCAACAAAATTTAATCAAACCATTCACCACAAGATGGCAGCGTTTGGCTTGAAGGTTTTAGCGTCATTTGAGTCAGAATTATACTATTTTGTTCTTTTGAAGTGACTTTTTTATCGTTACCGGAAGAGACGACTCGTAAATCTCATTTATTTATCTGTTTTCTGTTCTCTCCAGTTATGGTTAATGAAGACACAGGATGCAGTCATTCCCGGCAGCTATGTACCAAGAGAGCTTCATTCGCAGTAGGTGACGCAAGCATTGGATGAATCGGGGAAAATCCCCCGATTCATCCAATGCTTGCGTCACTTGCGCTGGAAGGACCAGCGCCAATTATCACTCAAGGCCAGTGTTGCCAACTTAGCGACTTTGTCGCTATATTTAGCGAGTTTTCAGACCCCTTAGCGACTTTTTTTCTAAAAAAAAGTCTTTGAGTCTTTCAAAGACGTGAAAGCGCCTATCGCTTTTACTCTCAACAAGCAGCGGGTGCTGTAACGCAGTCAGTTCTTCTTTTACTCTTTTACTCTTATGCTGTTTTGTGGATCACAAGGTTTAAAACTACTTATAAACACACACACAAAGTAACTCCACCAGAGTGCCTATTTCGGGTCACTTTTGTCGGTCCAAGCCCGGATAAAGGAGCAGGGTTGGAATTGTGACATTAAAAAAAAAAAACAATAATGGCTAAAAGAAATTTAATTTGTAGTTCTAAATAAACTCTAAATGCATTTAGGACGTTTTTTACTCACTTTATATCTCTTCCACGATGTTATTTCTCTCTCCAACAACATAGGATTAGCATGACCAATTATGCAAATTAGGCGATGACGTCATTTAGCGACTTCTAGCGACTTTTAGGACAACCAATAGCGATTTTCCTTACTGAGGAGTTGGCAACACTGCTCAAGGCACGCAAATAAGCTCGACTGTGCGCTGATTATGGCTTTATTTTACCGTGTAGCCGTGTGATCCCCGAGTTATTTATTCTCCTATCTGTTTAGCTGTTATGTCTCTGTCAACATTCAAAACAAGAAGTTCTAGTTTCTAACTGCTGTTCATTTATATTTGCGCGCAGTAGACCGGTTTGTAATTAGCTGTTGTTAAGGATTTTACTACGTCATAAAAATGAAAATCGAGCTTCTAGTTTGCGCCTCACTCTGTGTAAAGGTTTGACTCAAGTCTGACGTGACAAAGACCCCAAACAAAATGTAAAGATGGGATTTTTGTAAAATCTCTTGACACTTTTTTATCTTTCGGGAACTTCTCTCACCCGCTGTTTGTGCGAGGTTAGAAAGGACTTAGATATCCTTTAAAACATCATTTGCTTCATATGCTGCGTGTTAAATACTGAATAACATCGGGATTTAAAATGTGCTCAGGCTGCTGCTTACACGAATCTCCAGGGGGACAGAGACCTGTCTCGCTGCTCATCTGACAGCGGCGTCTTGTAAAGTTCCAGGGGACAAGAGTAAGATGAGCTGCGAGCCGTTGTCCGCGGAGCCTCTGTGGGCCGCAGGTAGTGCGTCCTCAGCTTCCTGTCCGCCGCTGCCTGTAGCTCCTGGTCGTTATAGCACCGGAACATCTTGGACGACCACATGGGCACGATGAACAGTACGAAGATGAGAACCTGGGGAGACGCAGGCAAACCATGACATTTCATTCATACAGATGTGGAAAAAAAAGCAGTAGTCTGGAGGTGAAAGCAGAAGCAAAGGGAAAACAGTGATGGAGGTAGCAGAGGCAGATGTCCCGCATTCGACTCACCGGTTTATAATCCATCCTCCGACTCTGAGCTCTGTCTGATTCTTTCCAAGATTAACCGGTCGGTTCATGACATCCAGTCATTCATCTCTTATTTATGTATACAAAAGATGGGGGCGTGGGAGGGGAGGGGGGGGGGTGCTTTAACTTCCTTGTTTCCGGCAGTGAAGCAGCTGTAGCACCGGCAGTAGGTGAGGATACTGTCATAGAGAACACAGACCTGGAATTTCTTCTCTCTCTCTCTCTCTCTCTCTCTCACTCACACACACCCACACACACACACACACACACACACACACACACACACACACACACACACACACACACACACACACACACACTGACAACTGAATCACCTGTGTGGTGCCTGTTTTCACACCTTCTATTTAATGTTATAACAGTAAACATTAGAGAAACACAAACTAATCTTTCGAGCAGGGGTATCCTACTATCAGATTACTGTCGAAACAAATAAATGTTATAAATATTTATAGAAGATCTTGGTGAAAAATATCAGCAAACATGTTGTCACTCAAATGCATCTATAAATGTTTATACCTGCGCAGGGAGAGAGCCTCTGACCGAAACTGTACAAAGAAAAATCATCCCAGTTCCTGTGATGGTTGGGTGTAGTTAGGTTTTAAAGACATTGTAAATTACTCAATAGAGTTATTCACTTATACATTTTTAATTTCAGAAATTCACGTCCACACACTAGGGGGCACTACAGGGATTAAACAAGTGGGTCAATCCGACATTCCCGTGGGGCTATCCACACCAACTCACCTGGCGATAAGTTGTAACTTTTTCTTTTGAAGTTAATGCGACTTTATAAAATCTCAGAGCTACAGTAGACACAGTGGACATTTGTGTGATTCCCCTAAAGCTTAACCAGTAGCTTAATTTTTACATGGGACTGAAACGTGTTTTTACTCTAACAAAGTCTAAATGATAATTTACAACTAAATTCTTCCTAAAGCTTTACAATGATAAATTAAAAATCCCCTACCGTAATGAAGAATCTTTATTTTTCTCCAATTATTAGCAAAAATAATAGAAAAGAAATAAATGAAGAAAGTTGACTCTTGCTATAGCTTTTAAGATAAAAACCCTAAACACACACTGCTGATCCCAGTTCCTGTGAAGTGTCAGGCTACCATGCTCTGCCAGAGTAGCTTCTAGTACTGATTCCAAGTCTGACTCTACTGAAGGGATGAACACTATTGTTTCAAAAGACATTTCCTCATGTGGGTTTTTGATGATGCTGCTGGAGAGGACTTTCTAATTTGTCATAGCTGAGCTGAGACCTGGTTGTTGTCATCACCTTTTGTATGCTATGGATGTGTGCAGTGTCATCCTGGAAGAGAACACTCGCATCAGGACATACAGATGAGGAAAACCCTGTTAGCCCACATCTGAAATTCAAAGTTTTTGTCAAAAAGTCTTTTAATTTTATTTAATTAATTTTTTTTTGTTTTTTAACAGAGCAAGGGATTTTCAACACAGAATTTCTAAACATAGCAGTTTTATTTAGAAAGCATAAATTCCTCAGTTTCATACTTTTATTAAGACAAAGCACAAACCACTGCTGTGCAGTGAAGTTCTTTAACTTTATAACGTCCAAAGCTTCTAAAATCAAGTGAACACTCTTTGCTGACACCCTTCTTGACAAGGGGAACCACCCCAGTCTACCAATCCAGAGGCCCTGTCCCTGACTGTTGCAGTCAGTGTTGCAGAGGTGCGTCAGCCATGACAGCCCCACAGCATCTAGAGCCGGGTGAATCTCATCCATCCCAGAAGCCCTGCCACCATGGAGTTGTTAACTGTCTCTGTGACCTCACCTCAAATCATTCCTTTCACTGCCTGATATAGTTGGGCGAGTGGTTGAAGGAATAATATCTGGAATGACAGAATAGTCCCACCCCCAATATACACAGTGTAGAGAGGAAGCTGCTTTTTCTCCTGAATTGTCTAAAGGCTTACCAGAACCACTTCGAGCCCTGCTCAATTGCTTCACCATATTTGTCGCATTCTGCTTGGCCTGCCAGTAGCTTCCAGCTGCCTCTAGAGTCCCACAAACTAGCCATGCTTGATGGAACTCCTCCTGAAGCTTAGCAGCTCCTTTCACCTCCATTTGGTTTGAGGATTACTGTCATGACAAGCACTAGCTGCTTTGGAGACACGACTCAGCACAGACCCAAAAGCAATGGAGATGCAGAACATGGTCCATTCAGATTCACTGTCCCTAATTTCCCTCCCTTGTCCTGTGTCTCAGGGATTCTGACAGTTAGTATGATTTATGATGATTCATTCACATTAGCATATTACAATGTTGCAATCAGGACTTTGTAAGGCACAATAATTAAACACTTTGATCAGTTATTAAATAATTTATTTAACAAGAACTTAGAAGTGAACAACATAATGTTTAATGATCCACATGTCACTGTTTACTACTCTTTGCATCTGGGGATTTTATATTGTTCTGTCTATGTGAGTTTTTATGCTTAAATTGTTTTTTGCTAATTTGAAGTCTCTGATCACCATGTTGCTTTTTCCTTTGTAAATGCTCCTTAAAGATTGGTATTTTGTCTGTCGCCATGTTGGGTAACCAGGAGTGGTAGCAACCTTGGTTAGCAAGCGGCATTCATAAAATATGCCGGTACAACACCTAGACAGACATACTAAGTTCTGAGCAATCTTCTTGTAGTGTCTGTACTGCACAGCAAGACATATTATTTGTCAGATAATTCCATTGACAAGTAGAACTGGTCATGCCCATGCTATAAAATTGGGTATTTAACACAGGAGTCTATGGAAATCAACTTACTTTTTGAGAGTAATTTAAGTTTATGCCACCTCCAAACTGACTTCAATTACTAGTCCCAGAGGTTGACACATGCACCTACCCTTTAAGCTTCAGTACTAAACTCTGTCTAATTATTCTTAGTAACATAAAAAAGAAGGCTCCCTGGAGCTGTCACTGTTTGGACCTCTAATAAATAAGGTTCTATCCAATCACAACCAACAATGAAAGCTCCTACATTCTCCTGTGTATTATGCTGATGTACTTTCGATTTCCACAGTTCCTATTTGCCTCAGCACAAACACTACCAATGATGTCTTCTTGTTTTTCAGGAAACGTGCAATAAATGTAAGAAAGCACCTGCCAGCCTAACCACAGTGTCCAGAGAGCACATGGTACCATGCCGTTATGTCCATGTAGATTCCACTGTTCCCCTTTCTTCCCTCAAGGACATTCAGTGTTTTCAAACAAACCCCTTTCCAACACATGAATTATAAAACAAAACAAAACAAAAAACAAACAAACAAAAAAAAACCCTCCATTTAAACTTCCCATTAAAAGATGTAAATATAACAAGTCATTATATCTTGGCATGAATGAGTGTCAACAAGAAAATGGGAAACTATCACTGCCCTGCCCCATAAAAGTAAGTGTGAAGTATCTTCAGTGATTATTTTTCCTCGCATCTTAGCATCATCTCCTTCTCATATTTCCTCATATACTCTTATGACATGTCATGAATGCTACTGTAATAATTGTTATTATTACCCAAATAGTAAAGACAGTAGAACAAGAAAAAAAAGTATTCACCTTCACCTTCTCCAGCTGACCTTGTTGCTTGTGTTGTCAGATTTGGCACGAGTCACTTTTTCACGAGTTATTTTGTCTTTTGATGTTGTTTCTGTCCTGTTCAGTTTCTCCCGTAGATGAAAGGTATGAAGACATGGATGCTGTATATTAGCAGTAATATTGAGTACAGCATGAAAATAAAAAAGTGTAGTTTCATGTCCAGTTTAAATCAGAATCAGAATACTTTATTCATCCCGAGGGAAATTAGGGTTACAGCAGGCAGCACGCTAATGGCGCATGCGCACTTACAAAGGAACCTTCTGACCAACTTTACACAAACATCACATTGGGCAGACATGTCAGAAAGGTAGGCTGATAGGAAAAAACAACGAAAATACATAACATGAGATAAGAGGAGGAGAAAAAAAAACTCCACTCAGACTGAGCTCCTAGTGGGAGAACTGTTTGATAACAGAAAAAAAACACCTCAGCACAAAAGTACATGACTATCAATACACCATAGAAACACAAGACAAGCAACAGGGGCGGGTAAAGGGTAAGAGAGAGCCGGTGTAGACAGCGCATCCGGTCCTGCAGCATCTGTGCTGGTCCAGTTGACTGCTATCTTCCCCGGTAGGGCACAAGCATCGAAGGCGTTGGAAAGGGAGGGGGGATGAGTGAGTGCTTATCAGTGTAAGTGTGTGTGTGTGTGTCCATAGTTTAGCTGAGACAGTGTCCTTCGGCCTATCAGGCTAAGTAAACAGGCCTCCAGCCAATCCAGGTGTCCTTGCATGGGATGGGAAGAATAGCCGTAACACAGTCATTATCAGGGAGTGATTGTTCGGCTCCAGACTTGGGCCTGCAGCTGGCGCCGTGATGGGGGTCCGCAATGTTCATGTTGGTTTTGTTAATTTCCATGCAAGCAGCCCAGGAGAATTTTTCAGGCTGCTCTTTAACACACTGGCCTCTCGATCTCCCGTTGGAGAGTCGCGAGCCTCCCCATGATGGTATCAAACTTCTGTTCCATGGTGTTATCATTCTTTTGATTCTGAGACCTCACAACTGCAGTGATCCGTTCCGCGATGTTTTCCAACTGTCGCTCAAGGGTCTCATTTTGAGCAGGCCTCTCTCTGATGTTTCCCCTCATACGCTCAATGGTGTTGTTTTGAGCCTTCACAGCAGCTGCAAGCGTCTCCAAGGTGTTGACCATATTACGTTCGTTGTGAGAGGTTGCGCCTCGTTCCATTTCGATTCCAGCGGGCAGCCTTGGGAGGGTTTGAACAGCCGGTTCCGCTCTCTTATTTCTCCGATAAACCAGGGCTAAGCCAACTCCGATCAGCATGAACCCTGTTATCATGGTTCCGAATAGATAGATATCTTCAGCGTCCTCGATCGACAGTCCCGCCAGGCACATGATCCTCCAGTTCTGCCACCCGTCCATCGTGTATCCGGCAGGGAAAGTCCCTCCAGGGCACTCAGGCTTAACAAAGACTCCAAATGGCTTAAAAAAAGATGTGTGTGGTTTCGTTTTGTTTTTTAAAATTAACTATATCTACTCTACAAGAGTACTCAAAATTTGTTGTATTTTGCCTGGGAATCTTACTGTCACAGTGTCTGACCGCATTGGGGCATTTTGTCGATATGCTGGTTCATTTATCAACAGAGGGGAATGTCCTCTTATCTGCACAAGTGTTTCAGGGGCATTTGCAGGTAACTTTCCAATGGTCATTCTACTTAGAGGCCAGTCAACATCCCACATAGCAAGCAGGTCTGGCCCGGATCTGGTATCAAGCCGGCACTGCTGGCTGACTTCTGGCATGATAAGACGTATGTCATCCAGATATGGGCCAGGCCTGGCATAGATGGCACTGTCTATGTGATGGCATGCCACATCTGGCTCGATTGTGGTTCGGTTTATGTGGCCCAGTCTCATACAAAACAGGTCTGGCCCGGATCTGGCATCAAGCTGGCACTTCTGACTGACTGGTGTCATGGCAGAGTGTATGTCAACCAGATGTGGGCTAGGTCTGGCAATGATGGCACTATTTATCTTCCTATTTTAGTTAGAAGACCCAAATGTCATTTTGCAATACTATACTGCTATAGTAGCCAACGTTTCAAATGCAGGTTTGACAGGTTTGTGAGTGTACACTTTATCCAAAACCTAGCTAGGGTTTACTCGTGTTTTCCACTGTGTGGCTGTAGCTCAGGAGGTAGAGCAGGTCACCTACTGATCTGAAGGTTAGTGGTTCGATCCCTGGCCCCTCCAGTCTGCATGTCAAGAGTGTGAATGTGTATGAATGTAGTTAGGAAGCACCCAGTTAAGAGAAAGTGTGTGACTGTGGCATATTGTATAGAGTACTTTAAGTGGGAGACTAGAAAAGCACTATATAAGATTAAGTCCATTCACTGTCTGAACAGTTTCGTCATGTTCCAACACATGTTGTTATTACATGGCTTGATTAAGGTACACATTAGGATGACATCTTGGACCAGCACAGGACCACCAGTTTGTCTACAACTGGCCCGTGGCTGCCCACATACTGCAAAGAATGACGGCCCTTTGGTGGCCCAGATCAGGTTTGCCAGAGGTAATCCACACATGGGCCAGCACAGGATCTCCAGTGTCTATGCAACTGGCCTTGTGCTGGGCCACCAAAGGGCCGTCATTCTTTGCGGTGTGTGTGGGACAGATCTGGGCCATACCAATTTTGCTATGTGGGATTGAAAAGCTTTTGCAGATGCAAACGTGAATGTCTCTAGACATCTGCAAATTACAAAGAGCCAAAGAGACTTCACTACTAGTGCCTAGTGACTTCACTAGAGTTGGCTGTTTCACTGACTTAATAATCCTGTCTGCACTCATTTAAGTTAATGTTATAAATGCAGGCCTATATAGCCAACCTTGCTGCATAGTTTGGCCATGCACATTATTATTACTGCAAACATTAAAACATCTCAGCTGGCAGGCACTCAGATCTTAATGTAAATGTTTGAAGTTCATTATGTTTTCAGTTTTACAACCATTCATTATATATAATTTGCTACCAGTTCTAAACATATTATTGCTATTGTGAATTTTTAATTGACGATGGTTAGTATGTAAAACAATGAAGAATTAATTGTAGACTTTAGTAATGACTTAAAACTTGACAAAAGACTTTGGGGTCTTAACTTTGGACTCATAAGTCATGATTTGAGAGTTAATATTTTGATTTGGGACTTGATCACCTTAACTTGTGTCCTCTAAACAACAATGCATGACATCACCCTTCAGACAAACTTCAAAGAAGTATAACAGGAATAGCGACTCTTCTGTGGTGTTGGCAGCAGTCCATGTCCAAAAACAATATAATATTTGCATAACAGAGATGCAGCCAAGGAGACTCACGGGTTAATATGGACATCCATCAGCCTAAATCCTTAAATTCAATGACAAGTCATAACCATGTTGGAAGCGTCACTTACCTGTTGGCAGATTTGTTTGTTTATTGTGGTCTGGTATTTCCCCTAAACTATGTGCTCTGGGTGCTCAAAGTAGTTCCTATTTATGACTTCCTCCAGGATTATTTCTTGAGTCTGTAGGCAACTTTTTCCCATGGCTGCAAAGTTGATGTGGTTCATTTTTCTAAAATTTCTCCAAAATTGCAATAAAAGTGTTTCCACTACATGCCAAATGGGGTGTTCAATGTTAGAGAGTTGTTTATTCAGTTATGTCGACGTTATGGAAAACTAAACAAATTTTTTGGTTCAGATACAGGTCACATGTTTGGAAGAGGAATTCCTAAATGCAAAACACTTCATGCATCCAGAAAATACCCCACATAGATCACATAGCTTTGAATATATCTATCTATCCACACACACACACACAACACACCTATCTATCTATCTATCTATCTATCTATCTATCTATCTATCTATCTATCTGTATGAATAAATAAAATTCCCCTCTCTCCCCTGTGGGCGGTCTATCCTTCAAGCTCGAGTCCTCTACCAGAGGCCTGGGACTTAAGGGTCCTGCGCAATCCGGTGCAGTATCTTTGCTGTTCCCAGGACTGCGCTCTTCTGGACAGAGATCTCCAATGTTGTTCCTGGGATCTGCTGGAGCCACTCGCCTAGCTTGGGAGTAACCGCACCAAGTGCTTCGATTCCCACTGGGACCAGTTACCTTCACCCCTCACATCATCTCGAGCTATTGATACTTCTCTAGCTTCTCGTGTTCCTTCTTCCTGATGTTGCTGTTATTCGGTATCGCAACATCTATCACTACACTGGGATGTCGTGCTTGGAGAAAACTCCTGAGTTTCTCTGATTGTCATCCCCTATGTAGCCGGTGTATCAGAGAAACTCATGAGAGTTTTCTCCAAGCATGACATCCCAGTGCATTTCAGACCCAGCAACACACTCAGACAAAAACTGGTTCACCCGAAAGACAAAACTCCAAAACACAAACTTAACAACGTGGTGTATGCTGTACAGTGCAGTGAGGATTGCCCAGACCTCTACATTGGAGAGACCAAACAGCCACTTCACAAGCGCATGGCACAACACAGAAGAGCCACCTCCACAGGACAAGACTCAGCAGTCCATCTGCATCTAAAGGACAAAGGTCACTCTTTCGAGGATGCCAATGTTCACATTTTGGAAAGAGAGGACAGATGGTTTGAAAGAGGAGTGAAAGAAGCCATCTATGTCCACTGTGAGCGACCATCTTTGAACAGAGGCGGTGGTTTACGACACCAACTGTCTGCCATCTATAATCCAGTTTTGAGATCCCTTCCCAGACGCCTTTACGCCCACTCACATCCTGGGCCATCTGGCCTCAGGAAATCGCATGATAGGGTGGGGCCAGGTTTCACAATGAGCTCACCCGAAACCCTGGCTGACTGTGACCCACACCCGTTTTCACACCGTGGCTCATGTAATTAGGTAGAGGATCATCAGGGGGTCCTTTGTCCCTCTTTGGGGGGACACTCCCACTGGGCTTAAATCTGGGTCTCTCAGACTCTTAGAACTGAAGAAGCTTCTCGGATGAGAGGTGAAACGTCTTCAAGCAACTTAAAGAAGTCCAGATGCTTTTCTCTCCAAGCTCCTTAGACTATGATGACCTGGATGACTGAGAACCTTCACAGACATATGGTGTACTACCAGTTAATGCAGTACACCATAGTGTTTGCATCTATCCAAAAGATCGACATAGCCAATGTGACATCAGTCACTGGTTGTTGCACGACTGGCCACTGGCGAAGTTTAGACTTCGATCACTAGGCTCACTTTTCCTCCAGCACCAGGTTTTTCTCTTTGTAGAACTGGTAGTTGCTGAGAAATTGCAGTCAGGACCGCAGTGGTGACTGACACTGCCCTGTCAAAAGCAAAACTATGATAAGATCAGGTATGACCTCACTGTGACCTTAGGAGCAATGCAACGGCTTAACAAAGAAATCGATAGTGACTTTATTAGAGATGGCAGATGGGAATTTCTCAACACTCAATTGTGATGGTTCAATGCTGTGAATAGATTCATGATAATGCGCTAGCTTAAAAAAACATGGACGTTCTTAACAAACATCTGTATGGTGTTTAAACTGAACAATGCCCCTTTGAAATTATTATACATTACTGTGGATCGGTACTGTAACACATTTTCTTTTTTCCAACAGTCGACAGCACACAAAGGAACTTGTCTTATCAAAATAGTTTATTTAGAGGCTTTTCTCACAAAAGCAAGACATACGTTGTCTCTAAATGTTCCCATTCCACCTCAGACTCCTCCAACAAAAAATGTGACAGAAAACATTGTTTTATCACTTAAGAGCTAAGAAAACAAAACGTTGGAATTTTTTAAAAAGCAGTACTTCACATCAATGTGGTTTATAATGATATGCTTGAAAGGTTCTGAGCTGTGAAAATGACCACTATCCTAAAACACAGCAAGGAGGCGAGGCATTGGTTAAAGAGGGAGCTGGGCCGAGTATGGATGCTTGTGAACTTGGAGATTTGTACAAAGAAACGCTCTGAGGTCCTGTGGGCTGTTGGTACCCTGTAGAGCTGAGCCAACAGTCACACCACTGCACATACAGGAAAAAGGAGAAAAAAATGCAAGAACAAGACAGTAAAAGAGATAGAAACGGCTCAGTGTTCATAGATCTATTATTCACCACACCATGAGGAAAATGCTTCCATTCTAGTGAGGGAACAAAGTGAGCAGCAGGTAAACACAGTACCCCTTTACTATCCTGTCTCTGCATTATGAAGTCTAAACATATTGCACTCCATTCCTGAGACGTCCCTTTCCTTGCCAAATGCCCAGATGACCTCTTCTATTTGTGAGGTAATATGTGGCTGAGACATTAAAAGGATTTTAACGGGAGCAAACTCGGAAACATGGAAGTGATCAATGTTCGAAAAATGAAGCAGAGCCCATCAAGCCCAAGGTGGTTTTTGTGGCAATTACTTCCTGTTCACTCACACAACAGCCTTTATAACCAAACCATACAACATTTTTACATGTCCATTGGAGATTTGAGAAAAAACAAAACAAAAAACAGTCCACCCTGTGACTCTCATGGTTGCCCAGGCAGACTTTGCATGTGGATGAACAGGTTAGGGCTGTGCTGCCATTTATTTGGCAGGAATCTTTGCTCGTTTACGGGCGATGGCATCTTCCACAGCCTTCAGCTGTTTCAGAAGCTCCTCGCGCCGGGACAGCGTGTTGCTGGGTTTGCTAGAACCCGATCCGGCACCCGATGCTGGACTCGGTGTGACCAGCTTGGCCGATGGAGCTGCTGGGCTTTTCCCAGATGATTTGGGAGGTGGAGACAGAGGACGTTTTCTAAGAAGACAGACAGAGTTAAGCGTTATAATTACCAGCCAAGTGCAGATGAGAATACATGACTAAAAAAAGGAAAAGAATGTCTGAGAGCCATTCCCTGCATTCACTACTTCCACTGCTGAATCAGCCTTTGTTTAACAACACTTAAGTTAGATGACAGCACACATCATGTCTTCTGTTTTAAACGGGATGTTATGTTGATTCATCAACTATTATAAACCCATTCAGTGTTTATCTACATCTGGGTCTGTTTTAACTGTTAAACTCTTTAATCCTAGTTGTTAAAGCTAGTTATCCACTAACTTTAGTTATAACTAGATCCCTGCGAGTTTCAATAAGTTCAATATAAAACTTTGTCAGCTTTAAAGTAATTACATACAATTCTTAATATCACATATTTAATAGGTTAAATATAGAATCAACCAACCAAAATCAGCCATCTATGAATTAATCTTTTAACATTACAATGATTCAAATACTTTTTAGTCTTTAGACTGCTAACCAAAGTAAAGCAGTTTAAGCAGTAATTGTGAGCTAAAAAAAGGAAAACGCAAACAAAAAAACCCTCTATTTGCATATCAGTCAATGACAAGCAGAAACAATTCTCAGTTTTCAGAAACTAGAAGCAGTTTTGTGGAAGCTTTTTTTCATTTCTGGTTAACTGTGCAGATTGAAAACAGCACCTGCTGAGCATCTAATGAACTGTTGACACTGTCCCTGAACCATTTTAAAAATCTTTTGATCAAAAGCCTTTTGGTAAATTAGACTACTGAACAATGTTGATATTGTTTATGATACTGGCTTTTCAGTTAATTAAACAATTACTACTATTCAGGTATACAAAAGTTTAACAATGCCTATAGCATAGTACAGTATTTGATGCTTATTCACCACATAGTAAAAATGATTACCTTTTGCATTTGGGACTGTTGGTCAGACAAAACAAGGAAATGGAAATTGTCCCTTTGATCTCTCGATTTTCACAAGTCTGTTCAGAGTTTCACTAAGGCAATTCCCTGGCCCCAACATAACCCTCTCTGTTATTTCTAACTCATGTGTGTCTGCTGACATGCCTCAATTTTGCTCATCAGCTACTGCAGGCTAAAATAGTTAACTAGTGTATATGACCCAGATTAACCTTGCTGTGTTGCTGGTAAAGTAAACATTACTATCTCTTCATGTTGGAAAAAAACAAACAAACTTGCCACTGTCTCTTCTTTTTGAACTTTCCTATTTCCAAAACCAGGAAACAACCTAACGGGAACATTTATACTGGATGTCCAAAGTGGTATGACATGAATCCATACATTATTCATAATGGAAGTCACAATGAGAGTTTCATGGTGGACAAAACAAATTATTTCATTTCTCTCATTGGTTCTGCCTCTGTGTTCAGTACAGTTCAGTACAAAACAGGATTCTTGATAACACAACGGAATTATTTCATAGAGGGGATTTTGCACAAGAGACAATGCATTCTACAACACGTGCAGGGAAGGTTAACTATCTGTGGCCTGTTCCTCATTTTGGCTTATGAAGTTTGCCAGACCACATGACATGACAGACATGTGTTTGGCCTGAGTCACCATGATCACTGCTGCCTATACAGAGGCTGTACAACATAGAGAAAGGTGATTTAAGAAATTCCACAGTTCTAGCTGAATGTCTTTTGTCTTCAGTGAAGGTTTAAAAACCACAGGCCTTCAGCAACAATAAGCCACCAACCTGTCTCCCTGTGGGGGCATGGGTCGCCCTCTGGGTCGATCTATTCGAGGAGAAAGTGGGAGTCGGCCAGGTATCCTCTTATCGCGGCCTAAAAAACACCAGATTAAGAGATAATGAGGCAGACAGACTAAACTACATTTAAGCTTTTCATATGAAAACAGTAGGGGTGCAACGACACACAAAATTCTCGGTTCGGTTCGATACTTTGGTGTCACGGTTCGATATTTTTTCGATACAAAAAAAAAATGTTCATGCCTTTTTAATTTGTCATTTATTAAAATTATAAATATATATTTTAACTCAAAAGTAGAGTTTTTAAATTTAATGTTGCTGAAACAACAAAGTAATAAAAAAATAAATCTATCTGATTGAGAAATCACTCATCTTTGGAAAAGAGAGTTTATTACAGAGAAATGGCTCTTTTCAAAATAAAAGCTATACTATACGCTTCTTCTGAGCTATATTCTCAGCAGCATATTAAACATATCAGGTCCCCATAAGGAGAATCATGTGCTAACGGCTGTCTAAATGACTCGGGTAAAGTTAGCAGCATGCTTGTTGTTTTTGTCTGCTTCCAATTGTCTTTGCACTAGGATGATGTCGGCGTAAATGTGCAGTCATATTCATTTTGTTCTCACTAGTGCTGTCAGCGTAAATCTGAAATGACGTTAACGCCACAACACGGCAAATCTCCGTTAACGAGTTACCGCGGATCGCCCCGTGCGTGGGGCTGGATGGCGTCAACACGTTAACGAGCTAACTGCGCTAACGCACTAGTTCCCACCCATGTAATTGAGCATTGCGTGGCAGATCCAACATACTGTTTTACTTTTGTCCATGACGCGCTTACCTTCAGGGTCATACGTCACATGAAAACCAAAACAGTTCCAAAGGCCAGATCTGAATGAGGGTGGGGGAGGTTCAATTTGCCATGTTGCAACGAGCTTAGCTTCTGTCTTGCTAGCTTGTGCTGCGCTCAGAGGATCTGCGCTCGACAATGCAGCCTAGGCGGAGTAGTCGAACGCAGATCCACTGAGCGCTTAACACAGACAGCATCGTCAGAAGAAAAGTTGATAAAATAAATAAAAAATGTTGTATTGTTCGATACATATGCGTACCGAACCGAAAGCACTGTATCGAACGGTTCAATATCGATACGAGTATCGTTGCACCCCTAGATAACAGGTGCAATTTTCTGGAGCTAATAATGACTGGGCATTCGAGGGGATGTGCAACGATGTGTCTTGTCCTGACTGTTAGATGGTGAACCAGCCCGGCATTCCAAAAGCACCTTCATGCCCATTACTTCTAATGGAGGTCCCTTTTGAGTGTATGGACCTCATTGGGCCATTTCACCAGAGCGTACAAATCATGGACTTTAAAATCTTATTCGGTTGCTCCACCAACCCGTCAGTCTGAGGGTGATAGACGCTGGTCCAAAGAGATTTAATGCCCAATAATTCGTATTGTTCTTTTAGTGTGAGAGACATGAACAGTGTGCCCTGGTCAGTCAGTATCTCGGGGAGATGACCTGAAAACTGAGCTTGCACTACACTCTTTAAAGAAATGGTGCGCAGCGGCACTGCTTCGGGATATCACATTGCACCAAAACTAATACAACGCTAATACAAAGATTTTAAAGTCCATGATTCGTAATTTCATTCATGAAGGATGAACGCAATTGGAATCGCTGGTTAGACCCTCTGTTGTTTACAGGTTCCCCAGTTAGTGTTTGGAGTTTTATACCAAATTGAAGAAAACTGGAAGGAAGGAATGAAATTCAGTATGTTCTGGACCTGAGAGCAAAGCTAGACACACTGAGTAGGTTTTCCTGGGAGAATTTGCTCCAGGCGCAGGAATGTTGGCAGCTCCTGTACAACAGAGGGGCTAGGCTCAGGCAAATTTCCCTGGGAGACAAAGTGCTTCTATTTAGTCAGTCATGTTTCTCACCTTTGTCTGGAGACATAGCCATTCTTTTGTTGAGGGGGGAACCTGGCCTGTCTTTGTCTCCAGGCAGGTACCGCTTCCTGTTGCCTTTGTCTCCCTGCTGCTGAAATTGAACAATTCAAACATTCAGGAAAAATTACAGAAACGCAAGAAATGGGTCCATACTGGAATGGAAATCAAGCTCAAGTAAAGAGTCAAGCTGTCTATTGTTTCATGCAAAAATGCAAATAAACTTGCTGAGATGACACTTGCTGGGAGCATAGATAGGCTACTCTATCAGATACAAGAGGAGTGATTGAAGTTGATCAAATTTTTAGGTTAGTTCCTTATTAAGATTGAAATTTGTTTAAAATATTTTCATTAATTTATTCTAATTTTAGGATTTAAACCACAGGCCCAAAAGTGCCACTAAATACATTACGGTTGGAGAAAAATCAGTGTGTTCAAAATGTAAATTTTAGGGTAAATGTGGAGCTCTTCAGTGTGCAGGCTGCAGATCTTTGGCTTTTAAAGAGTTGTTTCAATTCTTCTGATGAGTTTCAGCCAGGATTTAATTCATCATAGCACAGAAACAGCACTAGTGAAGGTTACTAATCTTATGGCCGCTGACAATGGACCGGTCTGTGCTTGGTTTCACAGTACCACCTGACACCACTGAACATTATACTTTGGAGACTGTAACAGACAGTGAATTAATTCAATATTTTTTTTTTTTGCGTATTTGTTAGAAACATTTTTTAAAATTTTCCTTGAACTGCATACTATGAAGATGAACGTACTTTCTTCTGTTTGGTTACAATTGGCAATGAGGTGCGTTCAGTGTGTCTCTGTTAGTTTGAGTTTCCATGTAAAACGTGATAAAACAGGAATTTATGTATGTACACTCGTATTTGCTGCGTTAATCTTGGTAACAATGGTTTGTTTTGTTTTTTTAAACCATGTCTCACGTGATGGTGTAAATCATTTTATTTTCACTGAGTATGTGAGACAGGCTAAAAGAACATGATTGTTTTATGCTTAGGAAACTTGAGATTTCTAAATACAGTTGCTTTCATTTTTTTTGTCCTCACAATAACAATGCTGAGTGATCCTGTTGGTGAGCTTGGAATAACTGATCTGTAAACAAAGAACTTCTCCTTGTGGTAACTAATGGCAGTAACAGAGACTATAATACACCATTTGGTTTAATGGTAATGCATTCCACTAGCTTGAATCATCATTTTTTAGATAGATTCCAGTCTGTAAGCATACTGCTTTTTCTTAAACTCAAAAGCTAAGTGAAAAGTTGGTCAAGATTCTTTTCACGCTGTACATACCTTCCTTATACATTTTTAATTAAAAATATTGTATAAATTCCATTTATGATGGAGATGACACCCAGTTATGTTTATCAAGCCAGATGCCACACTGATAAAGGTTATAGTTGGGCCTGGATAAGGCGACCCTAAACCATCTATTAGTTATGCTGCAAAAGGTTTGTGTTGTTGGTGAATTTCCATGATTCACAGAGTCATGATGTCTATTGTGTTGATGCTAGTATGGATTGTCAGAGTGTGTCAATAGAGGCTAATTTTCACTTGTATAGATGTCAGAAAGTACATTTTCTTTAAGGACTTCTTATTTTGAACATTAAAGGTTCACAAAAAGCCATTAGAAACAAAAAAGGTGAGGTTTTCTGATTGAGATAACCAGACTCCTTTAAATGTAAGAAAGCAGAATATTAACCTTGTTAAGGAGGGTGAGCTTGATGTCTCTGTGGGAACTTGAACTGCCATAGTTTCCAGGGGGGCCCATGGTGCCAGGTGGAGGATGTACTGGGTGCCCCCCCCTGTTACCAGGCCCTGCTCTGGGCAAGGGATTTCCTTCTCTGGGTGGGGGACCAGACTGGTCAATCTTTCTTCGATCTTCTCTGAAGGGTTCATCCTTTTTCGATGGTCTTTCTTTAATGATGAAAAAAGAAATATGAGAATGTCATGTGTGCAGACCCAACGTCTGATTGAAACACATGAGGACTTACACGTAAGCTCCCAGTTTATCAAACCCCACTGAGCAGTCCTTCCCATTAAATCTAACCTCTCTTCTGCCTCTCCTGCAATGTCTTTCTTATCTTTCTCCATCTCTGAGTGGTTAGTGGAAGCTAGCTCTCTTTCTTTTCTCTCTCTGTGAAATATAGCAGCTAGACCTTTAGCTAGCAGTACACTGTGCCACAAACTGCACACAAACAGTTTGTGTGTTTGCTGATGTTTGTTGAGCTAATTGCTGCTCTTCAGTAGCACTAGCTAGATGCTGAAGTACCACAACCGCAATTTACGGAAAGAGCTGTCTCTATTATCTGAGGTGGCAGACGTCTTTTAATATCTGTCAGACAATGCTCAGGATTTTCCTACAACCTGTTGTGGCTAGTGCTATATCCTCTATGCCAGGGGTTGGCAACCCTGGGCATGTGTGCCACAGCTGGCATGCAAAGGGTTAACTGATAGCACGACCATAGCTGGACTGGCCATCAGGCATACCGGGCATTTACCCGGTGGGCCCATCGTGATTTTTTGTTTTTACGGGCCGATGTTTTTTGTTTTTTTTGTAACGTACAAACAATGAAAGATAACTCAGTTGTTTGGTGGTGGCTATGGTGGAGCTTTCACAGAGGCCAGCAGGTGGATGAGGGAAAGGGGAGGCAGGAGGAGAGCCCTGAGGCAGCCGCCGGTCCGAGTATCAGGTGAACTGAACTTCAGGTAAGAAGTTATGACCTGCAGTCTATCTGGGTCAGATATAAACCAAGTTTAGGTGGAGTTTATTTTCGTTGTGCTGACTTTTTACAGTCAGTTACAATAACTCGTACCGCGTACTAGCTAGCATGACAGAGTTTCTATACAGCTGGGTGGGTGCTATGATGCTACTGATGTTGAACTTTATTTTATTCACAAGGTTAGTTATTAGAGTTGCCAACCTTTCTGTAAAAAAATCTGGTGAGAGGGAAACATGAAGATGAAACCAGGAGATGTCCTTACTGGATCATCAGAGCTGAACAGGTGATGGAGAAACAGGTTTACCTTTTAGGTGACATGAATGAGTTGAAGGGAAGTTATGAACTGTTTCTGAGAGACAAATAACACCAGGATCCTTTTTTATGTAGCTGACAGCTGGTAACTGTGCAGGGGCGGGTCTAGCAAAGTTTTGCCAGGTAGGGCATTAACAGGGAGAGGGGGGCACAAAGAAATACGTTTCTTTCTTATTCTCATTTAAGATATCTAGCTTTTAATAAATGATGATCAGAATCTTACAACCAAAGTTTTTGTGATGATGATGTAAAATGTATAGAAATCATACATATACCAACAAGACAGTGTACATCACTGTCACAACAGCATCTGTTTTCATTCAAAGGCTTTATGGCTTTTCCTATAATACCTGGTGGGCCGGTCTCTAGTCAAAATGCCCGGGCCGATTTTTTGTCCCAGTCCTGGGCACGACACGCAGTGAATTAATCTGAGAGGGTGCATTAAAAAATAAATGGCGGTGCACATTGCAAATTAGCTCGCATAGACACATTAGTTGTGCTGCTTCTTAATGATGGTATCTTAGCTAACAACCCCAACTACCAGATTCAACTTGTAATTGGCTAAAAATAACTTAGCCTACCGGTGAGAGGGACGTTGCTAGCTGGCAGTTTTTTCAAGCGATGTTGAAATTTCCACATTCCGACACTTCAAATGCTTCAGGAGCTGTCCGCCCAGTGCAGCATCAGCACCACGGAAATACACGGATACAGCCAAAGACTTGAGACAGAATTCACAATGCGTTTTCAGGACTTTCAGGTGTATGGACCAATGTTTTCTTTTCTGATCAAACCAGAAAGCTTTAATGAGCAGCTGGATTTGACTCGCATTAACTGGCTGGACACAGAGGACATCGAAATGCAGCTGATTGAACTGAAAAGCTCGACTCTGTGGGTCAAGGTTTGCAGAACTACGAACACAGCTGGAATCCACAGCTGTGCATGTTCATGGAGCTGCATTTTCACCTGCTGTGCATCACTACCTAACAAGTTTAACTGTCTTCAGAACATTGCAGAGGCCCTATTGACAGTATTTGGCTCTACATGTCTGTGTGAGCAGATTTTCTCTCACATGACTGTCCTCAGGTAGCCGTCTGAATGCTGGACACTCAGTGACCTATTTCTCTGAGTGGGAGACCAGAGATCACATTAACATGTGCATCCCTGTATTAACAAACATGCCATATTGGCCCAGTTTATTTTTCTTATCATTATTGTGAGGAGACCATAAATAGCATTTGCACTTTCTGTTGTATTTGCTGTTATGGAGTTCTTGTTATGGATAAAAATTGTCTTTTTGTGTTTCAAAACAGCTGATAACTATTCGCTGATAGCTGCCAACATCTGCAAACAAATACATTTGTATAAAGTTGTTCTATATAGTGTGTAACTGTTAATATAGAGCATTATTAAATTTATTACTAATACAATCATATGGCATACTGACTTCTGAGGAAATTGTAGATGGCACTCATCATCAGAAAGGTTGCCGACCCCTGCTCTATGCTGTTGCAATGCTGGGGAAGCAGGTTGAGGGGTCACAGATGCCAACAGACTCATTAAACTGATCCACAAGGCCACTAGCATTGTGCGGATGCAGCTAGGGTTTCACAAGATGATGTCATAGAGGTGGATGTTGTACAAGATAAGGACAATGCTAGACAAAGAGACTAAGATGACCTAAATGTGCATCACAGTGTCATAGGAAATAATTTCTGCCTGTAGAAATACACGCCCATAATAGGTGAGTGTACTTCCTTTTTACCTTGACTGTGTTCAACTAAATCTTTTGTCTCCTTTCAACCATAGTGTTTGTTCTGGCCTCATCTCTCTGTGCTCTCCTTCTTTCCCTCACCCCCCAACTGGTTTCAGCAAATGGCTGCCCCTCCCCGAGCTTGTGTTCTGCTTGGGGATTGTGTCACTGGGGTTTTTCTGCCATTACAGGTCTTTGCATCAGACTGTTGTGAGGAACTGTCAGCTACATAAAAGTGAACTGAATTCATTAATTCCAGTTGTATTTAGTAGTAAACCATTTTTTAACGTTAAGACCAACCGTTTCAGATTTAATTTCTAGCTGTTAGATTAAATAAAATTATACTTAACAAACTTTGCTTAAAATTAGATGTATGAATATGGGCTACGTAAAACTGAGAAAGGTCAAACTTTGGGAAGAAATTGGGGGTTGAAAAGAATCAATCTGTTATGTCCAGCAGCACTACATTTATGTTTGCATGATAGGCTGTTGGGTCCTGTGTTCCAGTTGAATGGGTGTTAGGTGGCTTGTACTAACCCCTATTCTTGTCTCTTCCATGTGGGGACCGATCGCGTGGAGGCCCTCGCTCCTTGCGAGGGTGATTTGGTGTGGGTGAGCGTGAGCTGGCAGAGGATACTGGGCTGGCCAGGTCGGCATACATGTCATCTGAGTCTGCACTGCGTACAGAGCTGCTGCTGGATGACGCTGATGACACAGACGACACGCTGCTCACACTAAGTGATCTGCAACAAGAATTGACAGGTTGCCCCGTGAATACACAAAACACCATACCCAAACACAAAATACAAAGCTTGAACAACAACTGTCATACCTGGATTTTCTGTAGGATTTTCCAAGAGAGGCAGAGCATGAAAGCAAGAGAAGAGAAAATATAAATTACTGAAATATAAATTACTGATATTAGGTTGCATTGCGAGTAAATACAGATCAATAAGGGCCAAGGCAACAGATAAATAAGATATGATAGTAATAATAGTACTCAACTCTTAACTGGCAAAATGCAGTACTCAGGACAATGACTGTGTGAATAAGTACCTGGATTTCCTGGATCCAGAGTGTGATCTTGAGAGGGTGTTGGATGAGGATCTAGATCTGGAGCTGGAACCAGTATAACTGCTACCACTTTCACTAATACTCCCACTCATAGTTCTCCTGCAGCACATACAGAGACAGAGCTAAGAATGCAAAAAGGTTTTGTTTTTTTCTAAATAAACGAAAACCAGAGTAAGACAGGAATTTATTCAGTAGCTTTCACACAAGCAGATCATCACCAAAAAAAGAAACCTGAAGGAGAGTACATGCTAGTACATCTAATTTATTATTGACAAATGTTCTCTTGTTAATGTTCATTCTGGGAGACTTATCAAGTCACCACCCTCATTATCATCAAATAAATCATTGCTTATTGATGTATTTTTCTAACTAACATGCTGGATAATCATATTTGCAAATGATGTCAGTGTAGCTGCTGTCAATCGAAGCTCCCAAAATGAAGACCAAAAGTAATTTTTCAATGAGATTTTAAGGATTTCTGTGAGCAAGTTTTAACATTTTTGTGCGCAGAGTTAGGATGGAATCGCACAATGTACAGTGCGAGCTGAAATGATCAGAACTGATTATAATGCAGAAGTTTAAGCCCATTTTAAAGGAAAATAGCTTTTAGTGTGACTGTTTTTAATGTTGCTAATAAGGGTTATAGAAAGCAGACTAACCCTCTAGAACAGGGATGTCAAACTCATTTTACACCATGGGCCACTTACAGCTCAGTTTGATCTCAACTGGGCTGGACCAGTGAAAACTTTTATGAAGAAGTTGAACTACACATTTAATCCCTGAGATATCTAATATACGAAAAAGTGCAATTTCAACAGTACATCTCAGTTTTTCAACATGATAAAGAAATGCTGTTTTTTAAGATAAATGAAAGAAACCTGTCAGTGACTCTTTGGACTTAGATTGTAATAAATAAATGTGTAAAATTCCAGTGAAGGTTCTGGTAGTTTATTCTTGTAATGATAAAACAAAGGTTCTGTTAATTCACATAGAATTTCCTTGTGTTAATATTATTATTACTTTACAACAAACAAAAATGTATGAATGACCATTAACAAGGTCTTTATCAGTAGGAAAAGCTGTAAAACCTGTGAAAATGGAGTCATTTTGGCTATTTTTGACATTTATATTTCACCTTTAAAAACTGTTGCCTCGCCTTGTTTGCTGTCACTCTTTTCAGCACAACCTCACAGCTGACTTTTTAGGGGGTTTTTTTTCTTCTTTCATTTTGACATACTGTTTTAGCACAATGGACAAAAATGTATCAGTTGGAAGATGAGTTCTTTCTGAGCTAAATAGGTGGACACAATTATCTTGCTACTATCTCCCTACTAAAAGTCAACACTGGACAATGTTTGGCTCTTAAACAGCAAATCGTATTCCTCTGCATCATTTTTTCCCTCGTCAAATAAAACCAAAATGCTGTAAAATGCAGTGCAAGTAGGGCTGCAGTTACTGATTACGTTTTGTGAGCGTATTCTACTGATTATTCCATTGATTAATTGGATAAGAAATACTTCCTAAATAATAGTAATAACAATAAATAGTATTTATATAAATAATATATTCAATATTATTTAATATTCGATAACGAGCAATAATAGATATTCACCAGAGAAAAGTCATAGGTCTTTCAAAATGAACTGGTCATTGCTTTGTATTTTAGAAATTGAGTGAGCATTTTAGAAATTAAAAGATTTTAAAGACAAAGGCAAAAAAAAAGAAAAAGAAAAGCGCACATGCAATTTAAACTAACGCATTAAAAAAATTGCCTATGCTCTGTCTTTAATTGGAGGTAAAAAGAGTTTTGACAGTATCACATCTCCTGGATGAGGTGGATTTGGTGTATGCTTGGCACTACTTTACTTGTGTGGGTAAGGAGGCGACCACACGCCACATGACCGGAGAGCAGCAGCCGAGTCCTTCCCATACAGTAGGATACAATATGAGACCACCTTTAGCTTTTCTGTTCCATAAATACACTACTTAAAGCGTAGTCACTTACAAGTGATACAAGCAAAAATGAAGTGGTGGAGTCATAGCAAATGCTGTATGGTACAGTCTGTACAAGACGTCTTTGTGACAATTTTGGTAATTAGATTCTAGTAATGCCTTTTTAGTCCTGTACTGAGAACCAGTTAGTGAATATCTGTGAGTATAGCCCCTTTCCCATTAGTACGGATTGACTCGCCACAGTTTTCGGGGGTTTCCATTAGGTTATAGTACCAGGTTCTAAAATGGTGCGTGCTTGGCAGGGTTTCAAAGCGATCCAAGAAAGTAAAACGTGACGTCGTCCTCCAATGTAGAGCACCCCTTGCTGCACTCCACAGCATACACCATGTTGATTGCTTTATGTTTGGGAATTTTGTCCTTAGAATGAAGTGGTTTTTGTCTGAGGGTGTGGCTGGGTCTAAAGTACACTGGGATGTCGTGCTTGGAGAGGATTTTCCCGAGTTTCACTGATTAACCTGTTACATATAAGGGATGACAATGTTATTCTGTTTGTCATTCTTTTTCTCCCATTTGCCAATTTGATGAAAGCACAAGTGGGATAACCACATTTTTTAAAGACCTTTCTTCACATCTCTGTGTTCCTCTTCTCTCCCTTCTGCATTAGAGCAAATGTTTTCTGCCCGGTGTTGTAGGGACCTGATTACTCCAAGTTTGTGTTCCAGCAGGTGGTGGGAGTCAAAGAGTGGGCACTATTCTGTGTGTGTGTGTGTGTGTGTGTGTGTGTGTGTGTGGGGGGCTTTGTGTAAACTTCAATGTCGAGGCTTCCAATCTCCTCAATGTGCACAGCACAGTCCAGAAATGTCAAACTATTATCCTTTGTATCTTCCCTGGTGAACTTTATATTTCTATCCAATGAGTTGATGTGAGCAGCGAGGGTTTCTGCTTCTTGGGTTTTGATTATGACCCAGGTGTCATCCATGTGTCTGTACCGGTGACTAGCCTTATTCTGTACACGTACATTTTACTCAGCCAACTTGATAGTCAAGCTTGCTAGCCTTAGCCAATACTGTAGAACAACACTAAATATAAAACGAAAAAGGTAAATAATAAAAATAAAAGATAATATAATTCAGAACCCCAGCTTAATCTAAATTTAAACATCTAGGTGACCAGTCACGCCCATCTATACTCTTTTTAATACTGCAAGTTTAAGTTTAAACCATCGTGTTGAAGAGGCAGACAAAAAATTACACCCCTAGTTACATCATATATATATCAGTTCATCAGAGTGAAGTTAAAGGAAGGGAAGTAAACATAATAACAAGCGCCTGAACTGGTTTTCCTGGATTATTTCCACATGTAACTCAATCAGCCCACAAACTTG